GTGGAAATTAAGATGCTTAATAAAAACAGAATGCAAATGATAACACAGGGAACTTTACCATCCAAGGAAAGTGTTTTATACCCTGTGTTGCCTGGCATGCACAGCCACTAATTTGGATTTTATAGAGATACAAATGATTTTATCCATGAGACCAAATTAGTCTTATTATCTGTTGGTGGCCATTGATGTATGGCTTGACATTCATAAACCTGCATATTAAATTTGGAGATGCCTGCCACTAAAATTTCTTGAACCAATTTCTTTTTACATTTTCCTTTTAAATTTATATTAGTAAATTTCTAAAATTTCTTTTTATATTTTTCATATAAAAACTGAAGTGTGGAATAGGTGATGTTGAACTTACCTCACAGGGTTAGAAAAAAAATTGAGCTAGCATATATGAAAGTGTTTTGTGAAAAAACAAAAACAAAAACAAAACCAACATCAGACAAAATTCTCCAAATAAGAGTCATGAAGGAATGAGAGAAGAAAGTTTTGGGGTGCATATTTGAGATTGTCAGAGAAAAGGAAAACCTGGAGATCATAAAAGGAAAAATAAAACTTATAATTTAGAAATATGAAACTGATGCATTTTTAATTTAAAAATCATTTTCTTCTATGTAGGGTGGCAGGCATAATGCTCACAACATGTTTAGAAGGTTGTAAGGAGACGGATCAAAAATACATTCAACAGATTTGGAAGGGGTGGATATAAAGTTAGAATTTCTGAGTCATGAAAATATCAGATAGCGCTTCCAGAAAGGTGTAACTTTATTTAAAACTCAGTGCTGCTGTTTCTATCGTGCTGCAGACACCTCTGAATCAACCATCTCTGTTGGCAAATTGTTATGCTGACAAATTCTCACATCGACTGAAAATTCCCATTTTGTAAACAAGTAAGTGGGTTCCTGATGGTCTAGCTCACATCCTGAGCTGGCACTTTGGAAAGAGGAGTCTTGGCTTGAGTGACCGTGTATTATTCACTTCTCACATTCAAAGCAGATTCAAATATTTATCACCAAATCAGAAAGCCCCTGGGAGCACGAATGTAATATTATGTCTGAGATCTTTCCTCAAGCTTGGGAAACACAAACAGTGCATCTCCCCGTTCTGATGGCTTGATTCCCTGAGACAGAATGATGAGTTTTGCTTGTTTGGTGTTCTTCATAGCACCAGGGGCTCTGAAACTGTCCCACCCACAAAAGTACAAACTCAGAACAGTAATTCAGTTTTCTGATCAGGATGCTTGCTGTACACAGGCATGCCTACACATGTAAGTGAACAGGTTGGGTGATGAGTCTTAACCTCTGCTGGGTCAAGTCAGTCATGTAAGATCTGCTGTGAAATCTCTATCACACATGCAGGGACATATGGCACAGCCTGCAGCTGGGTGAAAATCACCAGCCATAACATTAAATGCAGTAGGTGATGTATGTATATTTGCATACTAAGGACAAAAACAAGCAAAATACACATCAAAGAGGACACATGCAACGTAAAAAAAAAATGGTACATGAGGGACAGCAGTGTCTAAGATGGTATGTGAGACAAGACGGGAGGTGCAGGACCCAGATTCTGGCAGCAGTGGAATTAAACAAGATACCAACAGCAGCCTGTAGTATGCAGGAGGTACTCAGTACAGCAAAATCACTAGGTACTAGTTCAATAGAACAGTAATCTGTGGAGCATCATTAACTTATCTATCAAGGGGCTGAGTTCCATAGTCAGAGGATTCTTTCCAGTTTAATGAATAGAAGGAGGCTAACAGTAATTTCACCTTTGCACTGCTCAGTATTATAAAGGGCTGGGACCATTATTTTATAAGGATCTCTAAACTGAAAGCTGGGGTGGATGAAAGAAGAGAAGTGAATGCCTGTCTTGAATGTAAGCTTGACCCAGGGACTATTTTTCCTGACTTTTTCCCTGCCATTTTGAGATACTTTAAATTCTCTTGCCCATTTCTGGGATGGTACTGATTTCCCTATGAGATCATAATGAAGGAAGAAAACCAGAAGGAAAAATGAAGTTGGAAGACTATGCCTATGGGATTGTGTTGAGAACTGCCCTGTTCCTTGAAAACAGGTGATTTACAGCCTTCCACATCTGTCGGCTGGGTCTGAGCAGCCACTGTCCAGGTTCTTAAAGATCTCAGCCAGGATCAGACATGGACAATTAGAAAATGAAGTTAGTGTGCTACAAAAAGTCAGGACAAGAGCATTATATCTAGCTCTACTACAAATTAGTTGTGTGACCTTGTATTTGTAGTTTCCATTTTTTAGTCTTATTTTCTTATATGCAAAATGCAAAAACATTTCTAGTGTTTGTTAAAGAGGACAAAATGACTGCCAAATATTTTAAACATATAAAAAGTAGTCTCTCACATCAGAGTCTTCTGCCTATCTAATGCTCAAACAATTGCTCAATCAATGAAATAATTCCCAGAGCTAGGAAGCTAAGGGATTAATATTAAAGTATTATAACCATGGGCAGCCTCTTCCTTTACGCTATTCACATGCTGAGAAATGAAGCATTAGTTTTAGGTTGTTAAGAAGAGATGGTCTAGGAGAAAGAGAGAGAGAGAGAGAGAGAGAGAGAGAGAGAGAGAGAGAGAGAGAGAGAGAGAGAGAGAGAGAGAGAGAGAGAGAGAGAGAGAGAGAGAGAGAGAGAGAGAGAGAGAGAGAGAGAGAGAGAGAGAGAGAGAGAGAGAGAGAGAGAGAGAGAGAGAGAGAGAGAATCTTTAGACAAGACACCTCCCTGCCTGTTTTATCTCCAGCAAAGGTGGTAGTGCAGAGGACACTACAAACAATGAGAAATCCTCTCTCCTCTGCAGATTTGGTCTGCAGTGACACAGGCAGATGCTAAACTTCAGCCTGTCTAGAAGTTAATTAGGTTACAGAGGCTGCCAAAAATCCCAAAGTCACTCAAAGAAAATGCAACACTTGGAGATCTGAAACAAAGGTCAGAAAATGCAACATCAATCCTAATTTTAAGATCAGAAAGCAAATAAGGGGAAAAGGAATTGGACACTCCCAGACAATGTGTAACTTCTTATCCATCTTTTATAAACAGGAGGGCAATCAGGCATAGTGTGGTCCTGGCTCCTTGCCTCTGTAATAGCTACTGTAACTTCATAAAGGCTGACACTGTAGCGAACCCTGTATATTCATAACTTGTTCCAAAATTCTCAGCCCACAACTAAGGGACACTGGGCATGGGAATCTCTTCATCTGGCTCCTGATGGACCATCTTCCCAACAGGGAACCTTGAGTCTGGAGGCATTATTTGCTACAATGAATTAATAGGACAAATAGATGGTTAAATTCGGTGCTTCTTTGTGGATTGCATCAAATGATCGCAAAGTAATAACTGCTGTCTACCCCAGGCTCTCAGAAGCAGAGGCAGCCTTATAAATCTGGAGACCTGTTTCTTCCAAAGATGTTACCCTAGAATGTGCTTTGGATGTAGGTTGTGCTAACATGAATACCAGTGCACAGGACTGCACTGCCACCAGCAGGGACCAGGGGAAGTGCAGGCGTTGAGGATGCCAGAGGTTGCCTAGAAGAGGAGTCTTGGGGTGAAAGGATAAAGCTTGCAGCTGAGAACCCCTAGCTCTTTTTTTGTTTTGTTTCACACTGAAGCCCATGCTGACCTAGAACTGGCAGCAATCCTCCTGCCACAATCTCAGATTGCTGGTATTACATGAGTGCTCCATCACACCCAGCTAAGTTCTGTGCCCACCCAGCCTCTCCCCAGTCTTGAAAAAAAAGCTGCCGTTTGTAAAAGACGGGTGCTCAGCTCCAAACTCAGAATGGGGTATTTAAGGCCTGATTCCAAATAAGAATCCCAAAACTCCCTACACCCCCCCCCCAAACACACACAATCACACTTATTTCATCAGGTTTTCCTTCCTCTCCTGGAGTATGCAAGATGTCAATGGGTGACAGCAATTTTACATCTGGGCCTCCCTGCACAGTCCAGTTCCAGCCCTGATCCCAGTCCAGGGCTGGCTGGATCAGCCTCAGGTGGAGCCAACTCAGACTTCTACACTGACTTGGCAAAGCAACAAACAACAAACCGCAACCTCGGACCAACTCTCGCACCAGGGCTCCAGTCTGCAGCCACCTGCACTTTGTGGAGGCGCTGGCAGGCTACCTCTGGTGAGATGCACCCTCCGGCAGGGCCCAGGCTGCACAGTCTCTGCGGGTCTCCCAACGTCCTGGAGACAGTCAGGCCCCAGAGCCCGCAGGAGAGCGGAACAGCCTGGGACGGCCTCTCTCCAGGGCAAGAAGAATCCCTGGTGCTTTAGAGGCCTCTGAAGACTGCCCGCCTAGATTCCCTCCTTAGAAAGGGTCGGCGACCACGCGGGAGGGAGGGTCACGTGAGCGTCGCCACTTGGCTATAAAATTCCCCATCCACGAGCGTGGGGAGCGAGCTCAGTGGCGAGACGCGTCCACCCACGCCACGAGAGGCAGGGCAACGATCACGGTGACTCTCCTTCCAGAATGCCCGGAGCTCTGATGCTCCAGACCCTGAGGTTGGGGTGTTGAGTGCTCGCATCGAACTTTCCGGCCAGAGTCCCCGCACTTGGCAAAGGCGCGCGGACGGCCGCGCGCGTGGATTTGCGAAAACGCTCAAGGCTGGTTTGACCTTTAGGAGAGTTGGTCCAGGAAGAGCAGGAGGAACTTCGGGCCCATTGATCTGTCCTTCACCAAAGAGGCAGCCGGGAGCCCTGGAGCGTGTCCTCCGCGGAGCATCCCGAGCCCCCCGCTTCCACACCCCAGCCACCCGCGTCCACACCCCAGCCACCCTGTGAGCAGCAGCTATTGCCGCGCTGCGGGGGAGGCAGGTCCAGAGCAAGTCCCGCACCTGCTCCTAAAGTTTGATCGACTCAGGTCGCCCGCTGGGTCCCCGCCGCCCTGGTCCTCTCCTCCCACTGAGGCGCAGGCGGGGACGTGGCCACCCGCTGGGCGGGCGACGCGGGCTCTTCCGCGCGCAACTGAGCGCCGCCCGCGCAGCATCCTCCCAACTGACCTCCCGCTCCCGCCCGCTGCGGCGCTGAGCCCCTGCAGCCAGCCAAGACAGTCGCTGCGAGGGCAGGAGGAGACGAAGACCCCGCCCAAGGGTCCACATGGCCGCTCCCTGCCGGCGGCTCTCCGCCGAGCTCTCCCGCAGCGCCCGGGACTCCGAGCGGCTCTGAGCTGCTGCGCCCGCGGACATCGACCGAGAGGGCGGCGGAGTCGCGGACAGGAACCGGAGGAGCAGAGGCGGCGGCGGCGGTGGCTGATCCTCCCAGAGGGCGATGTGGCCGGCCGGCGCGGGCACCAAGCTGCCCTGTCCCCGGGACTCTGCGCTCCGGCGGGCGGCGTTCTCCGGGAACCTCACCGCCCTGCCTTCTCACCTCGTGCCAGCCGGCCGCAGCGTCCGGGTCTTCATCAGCGCCAACCCTGAAGGTAAGCGCTTGGCCTAGGCTCGTCCTTCTATCCGTCCTTCGGTGTATCAGAGCAGCGGGAGCCTAAAAGTGGGTCTGTCCGCCCAGCCCGGTGCACCCTGCATCTCCTGCGCTCCCTGCCTCCCGCTGCAGCAGTGGCACCCTGAGCGTGGGAATTTAATTCGAATCACTTTTATTCTTTCCTGCACTTACTGGCTCTGCTGCTGACTTCTCAGACAGCCTTGTCTTCCCCTGGTCAAGCTAAGAAACGTCGGAATCATTATTAATGGGCGCTTTCCACATGCTCCATTCTGCCTCTACTGCCTCGGCTTCCTTTCCCTTTCTTTGAGCAGTTTCTCCTGCCTGATTATCTCAAAGGCAAATATTATCTACCCTGGCTTGCAGGCTCCAGGTTCGGTGGCAGGGCTCCTGAATGGGATCCTCCTCCCAGCCCTGACACTTGTTCTGGTCCAGGCTGGGACCTTGGGGTTTCTTGAAACGCACAACTTACCGGTAGGGTGGGCCAAGCCAAGGAGAACCCAAAGCAGGTGGAGGTAGTGGAGACACATGCTGTGCAGTCCCAGGAGGCTTGGTGGTGAAGCACTCAGATGAGTTCACCTCAGCTGGGTTCCCAGGCTTGGTGTCCTTAGTCCAGGACCTGCCTCTGGTAGTGAGTGGTCCTGCCCTGGTATGCACACCATGGAAACATGTTGGTTTGTGGTTGTTGCATTCACATGACCAGAGCTCTAGATGGCCAGACCCTTGTTCATCACTACCTTTCACCTTACAGTTCTCAGTTCTGAACTTAACTTCCATTTCCAGTGGCCTTTAACAATCTGGGTAAGACTTCAGTAATTGTTCCTTTGTATGGGGAAAAAAGATTGGTGCTACTCTGTGCCCTAACAAGCCTTGGGTCTAACAAAAAGAAAGCAGAGTTTATGTTCAAATAATCATTGGATAGTTGCTCATTTGAAAACTTGTAGCTCTGGTTGTGTGTAAAACAAGAGGACTAACAAAAGTAACTTTCTAGAAAATGATCACTTCCAAAGGGGACTGGGGAACGCACTACTGGAAGTTTCAGGAGCGCTTTATGTTCACAATAGAAGGGAGAAAAAAATCAAATAGGGAATACACACTAATTAATCCAAGGATTGTATGCTTCGAGGGAGGGCCTGGCTGCCCATTTTGAGTCTGTCTTTCACAGAACTTAATAAAGGATGTTTTTAGGAAGATCTGCACACAGCAAGAAATTATTCTATCTCAAGTCCATCCAGGACTTTCACATGTATATGAGTTCAGTAACTATGAAAACAGGCATCCTTGTGGAAGGAGTTAAGGAAATCTGCACGTTTTCAGCTGTTTTCTTTAAATGTTTCAGCAGTACTTAAGTATTTCACAGAATTGTTAGATGATGTTAAGTCTTGAACTTTTCGAAAGACTTTTTTAAATGTCATGTGAAATGTTTACATCTCCTGCTGTGAAGCCAACTGAAACCTAGTTCTGTCCTTTAAACAAACGGTTTCCACACTACATTGAATGCTCTATTAATGTCATCAGTGGTTAATTTGTTTCTTGCTTAAAGGATGCATTTTCTAGGATTGAATGCTAATGGATTTGTGTTGTCAACATTGAAATTAAAATAAGGCTAATCTCATTTTGCATACCGGTGTATATCATTCTTTAAATTTCCTACTTTCTTACAATAAAAACATACGCTAAGCTTAGGCAAGCAAACACAAGGGAGACAGTCGTTCCTTTTCATCACTGATTTTTTCTGGACAGCTTCCAGACTGATTTTAAAGGACCAGAAATGGGAAGATTACCTGAGAAGTTTCAGTAGAAGTGGGACTCTGAATTTTTATCCAAGTGGAAGAGCCACAGGCACATGAAAAGAGGCAAAGATGGACATTTTTAATGCTCTCAACCTGAAGCCTTAAAACCTCTGTAAATGCTTTGTCCGAGGCAGCACTTACCATAACATCTTATGGATTCAATTTAAAAAGCAAATGCTTGTCTTTTGGTCCGATCCAATATTAGATTCTTGGCCAATGCTGAAGAGCCTCTCCACTCCCAAATTAAGACAAAAGATATTATCTCATGCTTCCTTTATAAACAGAAACCCAATTTATGTTCTAAATGAAAGCTGCTTTGTGTTGGAACCATAGCAGTTCCTTGAGGAAACCCAGCAAAGCTCTTGCTGAGATGATTGTTTTTAATAGGCATTGCTTTACAAAGCTTGCATGGAATTTCCCTGACCCCACTGGTCTTCAGAATGGAGAACTGGTTTCACATGTATTGAGTTCTCTCCTCAAACAATCCTCCCAAGAGTGGTGAACCAGGGGATTCCTCCTATTCCACAGGTGAGAAAACGAAGGCTCTATCCAATGAAGCAACTTTTCTGAATTTGTACAGCAGAGTGAAACTGGGCAGATCCTATAGGACATTCAAAATACCTATCTTGAAGTTCTTTGCCAGTCTAGGCACTTGCCAGAGATCTGTGAATGTCTCACACCCACATGGTCAGATATGATGGGTACGAACTGCCCAGCATCCTCTTCTGGCTCCCAGGATATGAGCAGCAAAACATGAACATGGCTGCTTTAACCTGACCCGCTTGTTCTCACTGACAGGTGATCATGGACATTCAAGGGAATCTCAGAGCACTGAACTATAATGAACTTGTTTCTGTCTAAAGGTATATTGACATCTGACCAGGCTTTACTACGTGGATGATGCTGGTTACTTGTCAGGGAAGACAATGGCATTATCTCAGACCTCTTAAATGAATGAACTTCACCTAGTTTTATCTCCCATGCATCTGTAGCTTCTTCATTAATCCTTGGAAGTCTATTAGTCATGTAGCCACTGCCTCTCTACCAGAACAACATTTACATCTTCTTAGAATAATGCTTCCAAAGCATGTACACAAGCTTCCATAATGATTAACTTAAAGATCCAAGCATATGGAAAGGATCCCAAATGAGTCTCCCCCTAGATATTAGAGTATGAAGGTACTCATCTTCCATGTCTCTATTCTGAACCAGTTTAAGGTAAGTAAAACCTTCATGAAGAAGGAATATAAAATTCTGCTTTTGCTAATGATAAAAATGATGAAGGCCAGTGATCATTTAATTTATGATCCTCTGGGTTAAATGTGAATTGATGGGCTCTCCTTCAGTTCAATATCACATCAGTGTCTAGAGGAGCACATGACTTCACTTATGCTGGCAGAGCTTTCCTAGATGGTAGACATGTCTGACTGCTGTGGTGGCATTAGACATAGGTGATGAGTGAGCATTGAATAGTATGGCTAAGAATCTAAATTTTATTTACTTTTAACAAATTTAGATAGAGACATGTGGCTACTGATCAAAAGCTCCAATTGAATAAAGGTTGTAAGTAACTTCATGTCAAATAAGGACAGATTTCAGTACTGATCAGGTTCTTTGGGTGTTACCATTACTCAAATTAGAGACATCTTTTGTTTGCTAAGGTTTGGGGATTTTTGAGATTTCAGGTAAAAGATGTGAACTTTATTGGAGGATATAGTTTAAACGATGCAAATTGATGGGGCTAGAGAGATGACTCAGCAGTTAAGAGTACTGGCTGCTGTTACAGAAGACCAGGGTTCAGTTCCCAGTACCCAATAGTGGCTAACAACTGTCCATAACTCCAGTTTATCATCATATCCTTATTAACAGAGAAAATGAAAAACTTTATTTAACTTCCTATTTACTGTTACTACAGGTATTTTTAAGCCTAGAAAGGAGTTCAGAGACTGGAGAGATGGTAAAATATCAAATATTTAATATTTTCCCACTAATACCCAGGCACTATATAAATATAACAGGAATGCAGTCTGTATCAGTCCTTAGTTAGAACTCTGTAGTAAAAGAGAAACTATTCTTCTCTACCTCCTTCTTGGAATTAAGTGCATCACTGCAAAGCTTAAAACACAAAAAGTCAGGGCATCACTAGGCATTCAGGTCACATTGCTGAAGCTGCCACCCTAAGGGCAGGAAGCTGTAGAAGGCACTACCAACATTTACAGTGTCCTTGGATGTTGGCAACCTCTGAAAAATCACATACCAGAGGCCATAAGCACTGGCAGAACTTCTCCATTTCCTTCCTTTCAAATCTCATGCATCCTGGAGAAGTGTACGACAATATCGCCTGTCCAGGGCTAATATACTAGTGCATCTCCCTCCACATGTAAAAAGAAATCTGGAGTGAAGACAAAAATATCCAGCATTTGTCACTGTACATTTCCACTTAAATTTTGACACTGGTCACCTTTGAGAGTTGATGTACTTGCGCCCAGCTTCATTGAATCAGAATCACACTTGGACGCTGGCAATAAGTAGTTCTAGGAATTTCCATGCCTATAGCCCATACTCTACAGTGGACAGACTGGAAGGAAGGGGCAATGGATACCCAGCACTGTGAAACAGTGTTCAGCCCAGAAGGAAGCAGACACATCTATTCCTTCATCCAGGGAATGTTCCTGAAGCCGCTACCCCATGTGGATGCTGTTCTGGTACTTAAAGCACAGCAGTCACCACACAGAGCAGTCTCTGCTCTTACAGAGTTTACCTAATATCATAATGTATGTCATGAGTGTCATCCTAAAGATATAAGCGAAGCATTCAAGAAGGATCAAGGAGAGTTGCATAAACCACCTGGCGGGCGGGGGGAGATCAGAGTGAGGCACTGGGAGGTCTCCTCACAGGAAGGAATGGCGACCAGAGACCAAATGTGGAAACTGTTCTACATGATAATCAAGTATGAGGCAACGTGATGATAAGATCTCCACAGGGAACAGAAATAAATACATTTTGTTATTCAGCAAAGAACTTCTATCTCTTTGAATAGGAACAGAGCCGATATCTTGAATGACACTTATAAGCATGACTTGTATCATAGAGGTACACTGTATACACAGATACAAATCGTTTCTGGCTTTATGGTTTAATAAATCATCTACAGATCTTTCAACATTCTTTTTATGCCATAGTATTTTCC